CTATTGACTTGGAGCCTTTACATCGATGGATCATCGAACAGAAAAAGGGTCGGGACAAGTCTTCTCCTCTTGAGTCCCGAATGGGCTCGTGTCCATAGCATACTCTGGTTTGGGTTCAAAGCGACCAATAATGAGGTCGAATATGAAGCTCTGCTCGCTGGATTACGGTTGGCCAGAGAAATGGGCTCGATCGCGATCAGCATCCATAGTGACTCCATGCTGGTTGTCAACCAGGTTTTAGGAGGTACCAGGTTTTGGGAGGTACCAGGTTTTGGGAGGTACCAGGCTAAGGGAGGTACCAGGCTAAGGGGGAAACTAAGATCTGCTATCTGAAGAAAGCTAAGACCACACTTAAGCCATTCAAGCACTTCACGATCACACAGATACCTAGAGATAGCAATTCTGTGGCAGATGCCTGAGCAATGATAGCCTCGTCGTTAGACTCAGACGCGCCGGAAAGCATTCATGTTCGGTTCATAGAGGCCCCCTAGGGTAAGCTCAATCGAACAGGCTGTGAATACTATAGAATCAGTTTCCTAGATGACCCCCATCATTTAGTATCTCTAAGATGAGACCTTACCCAACGACAAGGTAGAGGCAAGGACCCTGCGAACAAGATCTGCTCATTACACCCTCATCAGAGACCAGTTGTATAGGCGAGGGTTTAGCGTCCCTCTCCTCCGATGTGTAACCAGCGAAAAGGCAGACTACATCATGAGGGAGATACATGAAGGAATCTGCGATAATCACACAGCCGCATGATCTCCTACCAACAAAGTTGTTCGTCAAGGGTATTATTGGCCCATGATCCAAAAAGACACCTACAACTTTGTCAAAAAGTGTGACAAGTGCCAGCTGTTCACAAACATACCACGAGCTCCTTCCCACCAGCTAATAACCATGACCAACCCTTGGCCATTCTCCATGTGGGGAATCGATCTCATTGGTCTCATGTCAGTTGGTAAAGGGGGAGTCAAATATGCGGTGGTCGTGGTAGACTACTTCACCAAGTGGGTCGAAGCAGAACCATTAGTCGCAATCACCACCAAAAAGCTCAAGCACTTCATCTTCAAGAACATCATGTACCGCTATGGGATTCCTCATACCCTCATCTCAGATAATGGCAAGCAGTTCAACAATGAGGAGTTCAAGCAGTTTTGAGACGAGCTAAGTATACATAAAAAGTTTGCCTTTGTCGCAAGACCGCAAGCGAATGGTCAAGTTGAAGCTGTCAACAAAACCATCAAGCACACTTTGAAGGCCGAACTCGGCGCGGCCAAAGGGAATTGGGTCAACGACCTCCGAGAAGTCCTATGGGCATACAGGACAACTCCGAGAACCTCTACCTCAAAAACCCCTTTTTCGCTAGCATATGACTGCGAAGTGATGATCCCCACAGAGGTAGGGACCGGTTCACTTCGGAGAGACCTATTCAATGAAGTCGACAATGAAGCGTTTATGCGCGTAAGTCTAGACCTAGTTGAAGAACATCGCAATAAGGCTCAGCTAAGAATAGCAACCTATCAGCAACACCCTAAAACGTTCTTCGACTCTAAGGTCAGAAGAAGAGACTTTCAGGTCGGCGACCTTGTCTTGAAGGAAGTTCTTCTCGGTACTAGGGAACCAAGTGCCGGAGTTTTGGGATCAAACAGGGAAGGCCCATACCTCATAGCCAAAGTAATAAAACCGGGGACTTATCGCCTCAAAAGAATGAATGGTTCTATAGTGCCGCAAGCTTGGAATGATGAACATCTGTGACCGTATTATCAGCAATTCTGAACTCAATTTTTCCTTGTAAAGATTTTACCTTTCTTAAATCTTTGTAAATAGCAAATGTCCAATTCTGTAATTCTGTTCGTTTGTAATTATTATTTTCCCATGTATATGATTTTGTTTGCACAAACTTGTTCTATTGTAATGGTAAAACAGTTAGAGCGCGACCTCATATGTAACAGTATGAAAATTGTAAATATTCATAACGGATTAAGAAAGCCTTATCTTTATTCATAAAAGGAAATACAAAAAGCAAGTGTGGGAAAGGCAATACAAAAGTAAAGGCAATTAGTGGCCTTTATCTCCAATTCCCAGAGGCGCGACCTCGTCATCCCCAGGCTGATCACCAATCACCTGGCCAGTTGCGGGCTCCTCGGGGACATACCCGAATGCTCCCCCTGGTCGGGTCTTCTGGCGGCCTTTGTTGCCTCCTCATCGTCAAGTCACGCCATAGATCTAAGGATTTCCTGGTACTCCTTCGAGAGGTCGGACATATCCAGTCCGGGATTCCTCGGCCGTAGGGCATAGATGGACTGAATTGCCTATTCAGCAGCCTTCGACTCGATCTCCGCCCCTTGACGCTGCATCTCTTCAGTCAGCAAAGTGACTCTTCCTTGGCTAGCTTGCAGCTCGGCCTCAAGCGCTTGCCTTTGCTTTTCGGTGGCCTCCCACAGTTCTCCCCTCTCCCGCTCTACTCGCAAGGCCCACTCAAAGGTCGTTCTTAGCTCTTGGTCTTTCTCACCAGCCTCCCTGGTGAGTCTGGCCACTGTCCTCTGAAGCTCTTTCATCTCCTCCCCATGATTCTCAAGCTCAGCTTTTTGGAAGTCCACCGTACGAAGAGCAGCGTTCCCCTCATTTAGGTACTAGTTCGTTGAAACGGTGGATAAGTCTTTCTTTGCTTCAGTGGCTTCCAAGTCCCATTTGAGCCGAGTGTTCTCTTCTCTCAGTGCGACCATCCCCTCAGCGGCTCCCCGTTGGACCTTTTGTAAGGACAGTTGCATGGAGAGCAAGGCCTATGAACAAAAGAAATAACAAGTTAGTTCCTTTGCTACCAAAAAGAAGCAAAGTCCTCGCCGAGGACAGCTCGTCCTACCTTGCTCAAGTGCTGAATGGATGTGGACATCAGGTCCACATAACCAGAAGCCACGAACTCCTCAAAAGCCTCTGCGAGCCCGCACTCTAGCAGGGTAAAACCCACCGGTTGTAGATGGTTCGGAAGTTGTCCCATTGAGTCAAGCACAGGAGTGTTTGTGCCCGCGCCTCCAGTAGGAGTCATGCCGCCTATCAGTTCCTTGCCTGGTCTCCTCCCATGGCTCGCGACCTCGCTCTGCCTTATTCGTGGTACCCCCAGGGAAATAGAGATGTCGGTCGCACCCCTGGCAGGCCCTATCGAGCGAAGTACTTGGTAGGCATGCGACCTCTCAGGCTAAATGCCCAGGTCCTTCGACTCAGACTTTGATTCTTCGGTCCGAATTTGCCACCTCTTCTTGGGCCGTTGTCTTCTGCCTCGGAAGAACATCTGGGGGTTAGGGAGCGCTCGCAGGTTGGACCGAAGCACCAGTCGGCGCCCTTCCAGCGGGGGGGTTGGTGGGAGCACCTCCAATCGGTTCGATGGCCCCCCACTCTAGGGAAGGTAAACTGCCTCTCTCGTGGCTATCTGGACACCCTTGGAGGCATGGTCGCTGCATGTGAACGTTGTTAGCAAAATAGTTCGCTGCACGCACAAAAAAAATAAACCAAGGTCGCGAAGCTTACTCAGTGGGAGCTCTAAGGTCGCTTCCGAGTTGAAAAAGTCGTATTTCTGTAAGTTTGCAGTTGTCACGAGCAATCTAGCGTCGCAACTTTCTTCGAGCAAGAAGCCAAAGGTAGTAATCTTGTCTAGGTCCGTGAGGAGCTCTAAACTGGTCATTTTGTTAACTGCAAAGAAAATTAGAGCTCGTTAGCAAAGACCAAAAGAGTTCTCAAAGTGATAAAAAAGGAAAACCTACTCGGATATTGGAAATAGCAAAGGCCGTCATAACGAAAGAAAAAGAACTTCGTCTCATACGCCCCTGCATTGCTGGGGTAGCTATGTATTCCCGCTCCAATGGTGGTTTGCCTGGAAAGGTAGTAGGAATCTTTGTCCTTACTCTTTTTCAAGATATACGAACAACCGAGCTCTAGCGCGGTTAGCTCGCCCAGTCCATTTTCACGGCACACGATGTACATGGCCACGGCTATCATGTACTCGTTCGGTGTGAGCTGCAGAGGTACGATCCCGAAATGGTCGAGAACCGACCTGACAAATGGGTGGAAATGGATCAACCCCCCCCCTTGAAAATGTCCTCGGAGATCGCAGCCAACCCTATTGGCAGATTCCAAGCTGTGCATGTCCTATCTCGGAAGACCTCCACGCTGATAGCGTATTAGTCTATCACTCTTTGGAGCTCGTCGTCAATAAGCACCGACAGGATCTCTTGAGAGGGACTCGCAGGACCATCTTGCACAGCCAAGCTGGTCCCTTCCTCGGCTCTGGTCATTAGGGGGTCCATTCTACTGCGGTCTGTAAAAAGCGACAAGTAGGGAATCGTTCAATCCTCGTACATTATTCCGTACGATGATGTGGAAGGAAACAATAAATATTTCCTCCCTTAAACCCTAGAAAAACCCTAACAGGATACTTTTAGAGCCACCATTAATGGCTCAATCCCAAAGAGAGTATTTCATCTCTGGTCAACTACCAAAAACAATAATAAAAGTAGTAGAGGGACAACCCTTACCTCCTGAAACGAGGAAATCACTCGAGTGGGTGAGTAACGAGACTCAAAGAAGGATTTGCACAGTATCTGCCACCCTTTTATCGATTCTGTAATCATTACTCCAATACATCCCACTATAAATAGAGAGCTCCTCTCTCGTTTGTGGGATTGGCTCATTTTTCTCTTTGTAATAGCTAAATTCTCTTTGTAATAGCTTATTCTCTCTGTAATCATTTGCAAGTCAGCTCGCTAACTGCGACCTGACCCTCCATATTAATACAATACCAGTGGACGTAGAAGTCGCTTGTTTAAGCATCCGAACCACTTTAAAACATTGTTTCTTCACCTATTATTCATCTCCAAAACCCCTATTCGCGTATGTCTTCTGGGCCAGCTCAGCATTTCACATGTGCGTTTAGTTGATGTCAAAATCACGCATCAACAATATATATAAATAAAAACAATTATGAAGAAACTGGAAGTAGAGCACTATATTTCACTGAAGCTGATGATCTCAACGCCGTCAACCGGTTTTGGATGTGAAAGATAAATAATCTCTGCATCCGGATTCTGCAGTTCCCACCTAAAATTCAAATTAATATCAATAAAGAAAAGAAATTAAACTTCTTAATCATAGAATAACTGGGTTAAACTTATTAGAAGGCATAATTAAGCATCACTGAAATGACCAGGATTAGTCTCCATTAATTACTTGTATCCAACAAACAAACGGTGAAGAAATAGCGCACTTTGTAACCGAGCAAGCATATTCCCAGCACAAATTCTAGGTCCAACACAAAATACCTGATACGTGCCCGATCTTGCTGGTTCCTATATTTATATATAAAAAAAGAAATTATTAAAAACTACACCCACTAGTCCGCTGTACAAATTAATTAGCCCAAACTTCTTGCATGGGGTATTAATTGCAGTTACATTCCATCTATCAGGATTGAAGCACATGGGATCTTCAAAATTTTCAGGATTTGTATGCAGGTATCGAACCCACAGAATTACTTTCCAGTTCTTGGTATTTTTAACCTGCATAAGGCTCACTATCACTACTTAACTTCACATTTCTAGTCTCTTCTCAATTTAGCTACTACTGATCATCGATTACATAAGTACCTTCAAATTCCACTTCCTTATGTTTCTTCCACCACCTGAAAGGAGTCTGAATTAGAACGAAACAGTAATATCTCTAGCTCTACCAATTTAAATAAATAAGAATATACATTACCTTGTTGTATATTCAATTTAGAAACATCTTCACCAGTAATGAAATCCTTTCTTGTTCTTGCGTATAGCCATATCCTCTTCGTGAAATTTGCATAGAGACATAATCAGGGTGAGTCGTACAAGAAGAGATATATATAATTATGCATTTTGTAAATATTTGAATATAGAATCGACATATTTATGGACATGGTATATATAATGCCTAGCTTCTGAAGGACATTAGGGACAAGGCTGATGATATTGTCTAGAACCTCTTGGTCGTTTAATTTTTTGCCTTCATCATCTTCAATTTGCATCAGCCCATCCATTAGGTCATTTGTTGTTTCAACTTCGTTTCCATTTTTCTTTTTCTTTTACTCTAGCTCCACCCTAAAAATTGTCTCCAGCTTCCTCCTACACTGCACCCATTCATGGACATACTGTCATATTCATATATCAAATTCTACTGAGCCCCCGGCCTTAAATTTTGCAGAAGTTATTCTTCGCAACACCACCTCATTAGACTTTTAGTCACTTTTTTTTTTTTTTTTTTTTCTGTTGATCATCTCAAAAATATAGATCCACGATAATTTATTTAAGGCCTTACAAGAGGTATACAAAAAGCATATAAGAGACAAATTCAATCCTAAAAGAAGAGAAGAAGAGAGAAAGAGAGAGGAATAATAAATTTTAAGGACTGGATTTGTCTCTTGTATACCTCTTTATAAGATTAATATTACTCTTATTTAAATATTTCCATACATATGGTCAAATAATATGTTTCCAGTAAGAACAGATCCACTGCAACCCCACGGCCCCACCCGAAAGCCAGTGTGTGTTTATTTGCGGAAAAATTAATGATAAATCGAATGAAATGGGCCATTTACTGTTCATTCATGGGGGCGGTTCCCATTAATTACTATGTTTTTTTTATCCGTTTGTTTTGTTATTTAGATAAGATTTTGGGAAAATATTTGATAGTTGAATAGGATAAGTATTATGAGGTAAAATTTAAAATTTACTAAAAAAACCCTTAAGTTTGCTAATTTAACTAAACACCCCAATATATAAAAAATTTGTAAAATAACAAAAACACCCCCACTACCCACAGTGCTAGATTCCGGCCACACTGTCAGAATCTGGCCGAAAAAGGATTAGACATAAAGTGGTCGGATCTAGCTGGTCGTGCATCGAAATGGCCTTTTCCGGCCAGATCCACCACTGATCTAGCAGAAAAAGGCCAGATCTACGACCAGATCTGGCATTCACTGGCGCAAAGGCCAGATTTGGCTATAGTAACGGCCAAAGATATGGCTGTCATTGTCGGTCAACGATGGCCAAGATTTTGCCGTCGTTGACGTCAAGGCTAGATCGAGAGATATAACGGCAATTTCCAGTGTTTTTACAGCCGTTGTGACAGATTCCGAAAACCACCGACGTGGTTGCTAGAATCTGAAACTATGGGTGGAGTGGCGGTGTTTTTATTAATTTTTAAACTTTTTTTCTAAGGGGTGTATTAAATTAATAAACTTAAGGGGTTTAAAAGTAATTAAAAAAATTGAATAGTATTTCTCAAATAATAAACAAACAAGTATTTTGGGATAAAATTGGGAATATGGATAGGAATAAAAAAAAAAACAAAGCCTATAATATCAAACTGTCAGGGTGTGTATTTGTAAATTTTTAGGGTGTATTATCTTTTTTAAATTAATAGGGGGTAATATTTTTAGGGTATAGGTAAAGAACCGGAACTTACATTCAAGTTATGGTTGCTTCCAAAATTGCAGGTACTCGAAACCACTCACTCTTAAATTGTTATTAATTGTAAATTCTAGAAATGGAAATGTGATAATGAGTAATTCCAATAGTTTTGCTTTAATTTAGTGGACGTGCCTCGCCTGCAAATATCCATAATTGGCCACGAATCTGTCGATTCTGTCATTTCAAAACTTAAAACCAATTAGATGCATTAAATACTTTTTATTTTATCTTATATATATATATATATATATAATTATATAATATATATATATATATATATATATATATATATTATATATAATTATATATATTAAAAGAATAACATGACATTCTCTTTATCTTATACATCTTTATGGGCAAAAAATATTTAGGCTTAATGAAATAAACCTATTCAACTTAATGTCATAGCCTAATTCCGATTAGGCCACGTTAGATGTACCTTGTGAACTGACTATTCTGTAAGTTGGACTATCCTACAGTTAAGCTAAATCAGATTCTAGCCGTTAGCCCACAACAGTCCCAAAATAGGAATCAGAATCATATTTACTTTTCACTTCAGTAAGATTCATAATCTTACTTGAAGTAGCAACCTAATCAATAAAGGCAAACCTCAGTGCTCCTTCCTAATTAGGACTCATTTACCAAGTAGGACTCAGAGTTCTACTAGGATCCAACCTCTTTGGTCATTACATAAAAAGGGGTCAAGCCTCTCAATTTTCATTTAGAATCACCCATAGCTTAGCTCCTAAATTTTACACCCAAGAATCACCACTTCCCCTGCCGTAAAGTTTAGCTTTGACTAACTTTACCACCTTCAACCATTGCAAAGCTACGCTCTGGCCATTTGTGTTAGTCTAGCCCTAGCCGCATTATAACGGTAAATCTTTCCTGCTCTTAACCCTCATTAAAATACATTCAACTCGTCTAACTTGAGTGTCAGAGCATCTGCGGCAGACACCACAATCGGTGTCACCCAAGCCTTCACGTTATCTTTCTCTCTTTGGCAAGTCATCGATTGTCAGTGACTCCATTTCACAAGATCCGCCCCTTCGAATCAACCATAAATTTACCATCAACAATATCCTCGTTATCATTATTTCTAAATTAAAATTTAGATATTAGATTGAAAGTTCAAAAAAAATTAAGCTAAAAAAATACTTAAAATATCCTAGAATATAATACAATTAGACAATACAAAAAAATATAGATTAAAATAATTATCAATACTTTGAAGAAAAAAATAACAATAAATTATATGTGAAGCAATTAAAAACTTACAATTCTAAAAAAGTGAATGAAATCAAAGATAGTAGTATTTATGAGATAATAGTGAGATGTCAAAATATTTGAAAAAATAGGGAATTAAAGTTAATTTAATAATTTATATATGGACAAATTAATTATAAAATTTATTAAAAGCTAAAAGGTATGACTTCTTCAGGGTTCAATAAATCCACTCTAAATGTATGGTGTTTGTGTATCAGCGTATGTGATAAATGGGTCAGATAATATAACCTGGGCCCATTTGATTTAATCAAAAATAGTTTTAAAAATAAATATATATGTAAATAAAAAAAATAAAAAAAGTTTACAATAATACTGCCTTCAGAAAAAATAAAAAATTACTCAAAAATTTTTCGAATAAAAAAATGTTATTATAATATATTTAAAATAATAAAATATAGAGTTTAACCATCTAAGTACCCTTTACATGGTTTCGGATGTTTCCGTCCACAAAATGTTATATTAACAACAAATCGACTGGATTTTATTGATGAGCTGTACATATTTTTGTAAAAGCCAGAACCCACTAACCAAAATAAAATTTTCCTAACCAGAATAGAAAACCAATTATAAAATAAAAATTAATTTATTAACTGTAAAGAGTCACTAGTAACCAGCAACACTATAATTCCCTGAAATTGATGATCTCAACCCCATCACCCGGTCTTGGATGTGAAAGATAAATAATCTTTGCATCCGGATTCTTTAATTCCCACCGAAATTCAATTAAATAACATTATTAAATAAAAGCTCATACAAACTATGGATTAATTGAATTCAAGTAATTAATTAAAAGGTCATTGGCCTCCTTACTTGTATCCAACCGACAAATGGTGAAGAAACAGAGCAATTTGTAACCGAGAAAGCGTGTTTCCAGGACAGGTTCTAGCTCAGTACCAAAAACCTGATAGCTACCGCCTTGCTGGTTTCTATATATTAATAAAACAGAAAGTAATTAAAAACCGCGCAAGGCATGGTAATTATACAAACTAATCCACTTCGTGCTTACATTCCATCTATCGGATTGAAGCAGGTGGATATCAAAGTTTTCTGGATCTGTATGGAGGTATCGAAGCCACAAAATGACCTTCCAGCTTTGGTATTTTATAACTGCATAAGGGATCAATAATTTCAACTTGAGATCATTCCTTAAATCATATAAACTTAGCTTTCTACCTTCGTATTCCACTTCCTGCGTGGCCAATCTGAAAGAAATCGCGGCTATATTGGCCATTCTTATGTTTCTTCCACCACCTGTAAGGAAAGATCATTACTTCAGGAAACAATAAAATCTCTTACCAATTTAACAAATATATACATTACTTGTTGGTGTATTTCAATTTAGAAACATCTTCACTGGTAATGTAATCTCCTTCTTCTTCTTGCGTATCGCCATATTCTCTTCCTGAAATTTGCATAGAAGGTAGGATGGATCACAAGAAGATATAGAATTGATATATAGATATGGTAATGTATAATACCCGTAGCTTTCAAGGACATTAGGATACTTGGCAAGATAATAAAGAGCCACCTTGACGCAACAGCCGTAGATTCATATCCAGCAACAACAAAGCTGACAATATTATCCACAACCTCTTGGTCACTAACCTTTTGCCTTCCTCATCTTCATTTGCATCAGCCCATCCATTAGATCATTTGTTTGTCTCAACTCATTTTCATTCTTTTTCTTCTTCTTCCTCCAGCTCCACCCTGAAAATTGCGTCTAGCTTTTTCCTACACTGTCATTCATGGACAGGACTCTGTAATATATCATTTATTCACAATAATATACAGGTATAGACATCTAAATAGTGTAACCTTAATTACCTGAAGGGCATGGTGATAAGCAGTTCCGGGAAAGTTAAACGGTTGAGCTCTAACTCCACCAAGCAGCCCGTAAAACAATTTATCCATGGTTTCCAGAAGAGGCCCTGGTTCAAAGCTTACGAATATTTTCCATATTCTCGAAAGTCACCTGCAAACATGGGATATTGAATCACTTCATACTTGATCTTAAAAGGGACGTTTCGTTAGTGATATAAATACTCAACTAATTGATGATTTTACCTTCTTTGCTTCATCATACATTTTCAGTCGACCCTTCTGGGCCCATGATTGAAGTGCAGCAACCATACGGGTTGTACCATTTCAGTGATACGCCTAAGAGCATCAGGTCGATTAATCGCATTAATCACGAAGCTTCTGAGCCGGTATGTGCTTTTCCATGGACAGCTACAAGAGATGTGCTTCCCATTAGTCAATGTTGGGCCATTTGAGGATAAATTGGCATCTGATCGAACACAAATTTGTTGATCGACGGGAAGCATGCATTATAGACGGTGATCCGAAGAGGTGGGTTCTGTACATTCCTACTCCATCACCATACCTGATCAATCATCATCAACACCAACTTTAGAAGAATGGTATTATGATATGATTAAGTTACGGCCGGCCAGGCTTTTCCTGTCAACCTCTAGCAGATAGACTAAACTTCGTCCTCTTGCTGTATCTCCAACTGGGGTTTTAAACTAGAAGATCTACAGAACTAATCAATTAGAGGCCATAGATATCATTAATCACTTATGTTTGAAAATTTTCAGATATATATGATCACATATGTTCAATAGGAAAAAGAAAAGCGATGTGTGTCTTAATTACTTACTTTCGGTCGCTTTGAATTGATGAAAATCACCAGGGCGGCGAAGAACCTTGAAGTACCAAGAAAGCTGATCATTTCCCCCAAAATGAAAGCCCATGTAACCAGGTGGCAGCCGGTTCCGGTACCGGAATATCTAAATTTGAGAGGAGCTGCATACCATAGGTCGTTCCACCACCACAACATCCACCCCAATATTGGCAGAAATCCTAAAACCAACTCAACCATACTTCCATTCTCCTTCCCTCAAAACTTACTGCCTTAACCTAACCATATAACCTTTGCATACATTACTGAATAAAAAATTAAAGTAAATATTAAATATAATGCCAATGGGGCTGATTCTCTTCATTATATAACCTTTTGCATACATTACTGAATAAAAAATTAAAGTAAATATAAATATAATGCCAAATGGGGCTGATTGTTCTCATATTCATCTAACCCTGAAGATGCTACTGGACAAAGTGCGTCACTAATAAAGAAAGAAATATGTATGGCATGCTGCATTTCAGAGCATAGAGAAGAGAATCAACGAATTTTATAATAACATAGAGATGAGTTAATGGTGGGCAATATAATTATGACGTATTTGTGTACAGAACCTTGTCCCCTTCTTCATTGAGAAGGGAAATAAATCATGGATTTCGGAACTCGAAAAATCGAGTTTTAGATTCTTTACTTCTAAATTATTCCGCCCACATGTTTTTGTCTGTAGCCTTGTGCTAGCATTTCTTGTACTTATCGCATTAAATTTCTTTTACCTTCGTTTGGTTAGTAATTATAGTCTTCTTATTTGGATATATACAGACAGGAAATTGATGACTCATTCATTTTCTTATTAATATTGATATGATTGAAACAGGAATATGAATTCTGATTCTTTTTTCTGCTTTAACAAAATGAAGAACACTTTTAGGGATGCTCACTCAAGTATAAATTTCTAATTGGCGACAGAAAGAATGAATTCCAAAGCAGAGTAATCATCCCGGTTAGTGCTGGACAATAGATATGTTCCAGTTATTTCAATCTCAAATAGTGGCGGAGATTGGAGAATCCTGTTTATAGAAGCCCGAGGGCCGGAAATCATAACTTCTTAGAGGTCTGAGGGCAGAGGTCTTCTTATACAAAGTTTTTTATATAAAGTGCGTGGCAGTTTTATTTTAAATTTGAGAATATATTTGATAATAATGTTTATTAAGAAACAAAAATTATAATTAAAAAGTGTTAAATCCAACAAAAGTAATTAAAAAGTAAATAAATCTCTTTGACAGATATAGGGACATCAATGGGATAGATAGGTTGAATACTAAAAGATCCGTGCCCATGTCCACCTTTTTTTTTTTTTTTTTTTTATGGATATTCAAATCCGCCCTATGATCCGTCTTCCGTTCTGAAAGTGGGATGGGTTTGGGCCGTTTGGGTTTAGGTTTGGGTTATATTTTTAGAGAAAAACTTTGAAAACTTTGGATCGTCCCATTTGACCTATTGTATATATATAAAATAAAACTTCTTTATAATGATATTCTATATAGGAATGAATTTTACATAGTTATAAAAAAATTTATTTCTAATTTAGGATAGTTATAAATAAAAGTAAACTCTATATTGTAATAAGTTATAATTTTTCTAATTTTCATCTTAAGAAAAGTTACCTCCACATAGTAATTATTATCTGTATATTACAAAAAATATATGCTATGTTACATTAAAGGTTTAAGATGAAATCAAATATTTATCTAAAGTTGTTTGAGATAATGATTTATGCTTTAGAGTTGTTACTATATCTTTTAACTTGCGGGTAGATCACTCGTTAGCATGAACATCTTCTTGTTGAAGCCAAATATTTCTAGTTTCTCAAGTATGTTTAGAGTTTCTTAGCACAAAACTTTTTGTATTTCTGTACTATCATCCTCATGTTATTTCTTTTATCTTCTTGTCTAATTGTAGTAATGATTTCTTCTTTAGTTAAAGCATACATGACTTATTGCTCATTTGGATGATTGAAAAAGACATTAATATTCATTCGATTAGTGTAATGAAGTTATTGAATCTGATCACTAAATTCTACAATGACTCTTTGATTCTCCTCATCTACTTCATTTGTAACTTGCAATTTATCGACATCATGGATCCTAATTTGATAATGATTCAAACAATTGACAATAGTATGTGGCTTCACATCAATTTGTTGTATAATTTTGTAATGATTAAAACAATTGGCAATAGTTTGTGGCTTCACATCAATTTGATAATACAGCAACTGCATTTACAATTCCATCAAGGATACTTATCTTTGTTGGTTTCAAGACACAATCTTCTATTCGTTTCAAAAGTAGACAATTAAAACATTGAATTGAAATCTTAATAGTATTAAAAACATCAATTGAAATCCTAATATTGTACTACTAAAACATGAATTATAAAGAAAATTTTGTTACCACACCTTTATTAAATTATAACCTCCTCATAATAATAAAATTAATTAATCATACTATTATGACTATAGAGAGGTTTTACTCTATATATATACACGAACTATGTTTTTGAATAAATTAATCAAAATAATAAATAATAATTTTGTATTATTTAATATGAGATTTATATTCAGAGTTTAATAATTCTATAACAAAAATTATTCAAAATTTAATTATAATTTAATATCAAAACTTAAAACCAATTAGATGCATTAATATTTTTATTTTATCTTATATATATATTATATTATATATTATATATATATATATATAGATATATATATATATATATAATATATATATATATATATATATAATTAAAGAATTAACATGACATTCTCTTTACTTATCTTATACATCTTTATGGGCAAAAAATCATATTAGGCTTAATGAATAAACATATTACAACTAATGTCATAGCCTAATTCCGATTGGCCTACTTTTAGATGTACCTTGTGAACTGACTATTCTTAAGTTGGACTATCCTACAGTTAAGCTAAATCAGATTCTGCCGTGCCCACAACAGTCCCAAAATAGAATCAGAATCATATTTACTTTTCACTTCAGTCAAGATTCATATCTTACTGAAGTAGCAACCCTAATCCAATAAAGGCAAACCTCATGTGCTTCCTTCCTAATTAGGACTCATTTACCAAGTAGGACTCAGAGTTCTACTAGGACTCCAACCTCTTGGCTCATTACATAAAAAGGGGTCAAGCCTCTCAATTTCATTTAAATCACCCATAGCTTTAGCTCCAATTCTTACACCCAAGACACCACTTCCCCTGCCGTAAAGTTTAGCTTTGACTAACTTACCCCCTTCAACCATTGCAAAGCTACGCTCTGCCACTTTGTGTTAGTCTAGCCCTAGCCGCATTATAACGGTAAATCTTTCCTGCTCTTAACCCTCATTAAAATACATTCAACCTCGCTAACTTGAGTGTCAAGCATCTGCGGCAGACACCACATCGGTCACCCAAGCCTTCACGTTTCTTTCTCTCTTTGTGCAAGTTCATCAGATTGTCAGTGACTCACTTCTCACGATCCGCCCCTTCCGAATCAACCATAAATTCACATCAACAATACCTCGTTATCATTATTTCTAAATTAAAATTTTAGATATTAGATGAAAGTTCAAAAAAATTAAAGCTAAAAAAATACTTATAAAATACCTAATAATATACAATTAGACAATACAAAAAAATATAGATTAAAATAATTATCATACTTTGAAGAAAAAATAACAATAAATTTATATGTGAACAATTAAAAACTTACAATTCTAAAATAATGTGATAGCAAAGATAGTAGTATTTATGAGATAATAGGAGATGTCAAAAATATTTGAAAAAATAGGGAATTAAAGTTAATTTAATAATTAATATGGAACAATTATCATTATAAAATTTATTAAAAGCTAAAAGGTATGACTTCTTCAGGGTTTCAATAAATCCACTCTAAATGTATGGTGTTTGTGTATCAGCGTATGTGATAAATGGGTCGATAATATAACCT